CGTATTTCACAGTAATGCCATTGAGCTATCCAAAGAGATGTTAACTTTAAAAATAGCCTGACCAAAACAGCCTCACCTCATGTAATATCAAATACAAAGCACTGCATGCTTTTCCATTACCAGCCTCCCTAACAGCTAGCTTGTTAAACTTATGCCGCAATACAAAGGGTTATTTTCACTCTCGCTTACTCTTGTAGAGTGTTCTGTAAAAACTTCTCATTTAGCTAGGTTTTTATTAGAAATTTGGTGTTTCATGGAACAAAGCTATATCTAGACAACTGAAACGTGTCTGGTACTGTTTATATGATGCATAGTGTGATTGGGACCCCGTTAATTTTCTTATGTAGGCATTATAGTAATAGCTGTGATTACTACTCAAAATTTATCAGTTCTGATTGTATAGATTTTTTTTTTTAACTTGGGTTAACAAAAGGAGTATGTGATTATAGAAAATAATGATTTCATGAAAATACTTATTTGGGAAGCACTTTTAGACACTATCTTCTTTTAGGTTTAAGAACCCATGCAGGGCTTCTCATATGGCTGTCAGATATAAAACAGCTTCCAGTTCAAACGGAGAGCTGGCCAACTTCTGCACTGAGGTATTCAGAAACATTTGCATATCCTTGTTTCCCTGTGATGGGAGAGCTTAACTTAACCTTCAGGAAAAAGTCCTAGCTTTCAGAAAAAGCATGATGGATAGCTTTTGGGGAAGAGATGAAGGGAAAGATCAAACTCTTAAAAATAGTTCCATGGCCTAATCTTCATGTCCACAAAGGCAAAACTGCGAAGGAGGACTCATTCTGCTAGGCACTGCGTGTAAGTGCAACAGTGGGACCTTCCTCTATCAGTAGGGTATCTGGGCACCGAGATACTAAAAGTTAGAGTAATCGGTATACTTCTGGCGCTACTCTGATTAGAGTAGTATTAACGTATGGCTGGGCAAGTCTAATCTTAAGAGTCAGAACTGTGAAGCTGGTCAGTAGAGCTGGCTGCAACTTTTCTCCACTGTTTTCCATAGAAAATAAGATTCTTATAAGTGACTTTTTCAAAAGTGTCTGCTTTCTTTCCATTAATTTTTCCAGTGCAACATCTTGGCAAAAACTACTGAATCTTCTCTGGAAGCTCACATTTCAATTTTAGATTGAACATTTAGATTGAAAATAAGAAATGTTTTATTATAAACTTCAGTTGGAGAGAACTGACTGTAATGACTAGCTCTTAATATGTGTGTTTAAGTTTAAGAGAAAACTTGTTATGAATAGCTTTGGGCATTCTCAATAATTATATACTGCAACTTCTTATTTTAAATACTTAGTGCTTAGACCACATTAAAGAGATAATGTCTCATCTCATGAAATAGCTTCCATTTATGTGGCCCAGAAGACTCAGAGTGCCTCTCCAACTACATAAATATAAGATCATCGCAGAAGTACAGCCAGACCAACGAACGGCACGTAGTATGCGTCACATGAGTGTGTAGGGGAGGAGGGAGGGAGAAAAGCTCCGAGCAGAGCCAGAGGATGAATGGAGCTCCTCTTTGTGACAAAAAGTACTGTGGCATCATCTCGTGACTACATACAGAACAGATACGTTTCTTGAGACTCGTCCAAAAGGCTTCTGCACAATGTATTTTATGATAGAGAGCCAGTCTGTTTGTAAGAGGCTCTTTTATCAGTATATTTTACTGGCAAAGCATTGAGGGTATGGATGCAGATACAGTGTAAAGCTGTGCTGTCTCTGGTGACTGTTTGCCAAGGCACATCGTGACGTGTCTGTATAATGTGCCTGCTCTAGAGGCATAGCTGGCATGCTGGTATTGGTGATGGGTCGCTGCAGCCTGAAAAAAAAGTAGGATATGTCTGAATTTGAGAAGCTACAGGCCACCTTCAAATGTGCAGGTTTAACCAGGAGCTGAGCTAGCTTTAAAGTTTGTCAGACTTTTCTGGTTGCGGCGGAGCCACCAGGTTCCCATTTGTCCCTCCCAACTGGCCAGTTAGTGTTCATCTTGTGGGCAAACACTCCAAGTAAAAACTGCTTCACCAGGCTCAGTTGATGTAAAAGTAGCATGTTTGGCCTAAACCAGTGCATTTGCTTGGAAGGGTGATTAGCTGAGGTTGATCTTGACCGGAGCGGAATCTGTGGTTTTGGTGAGGTTTCTATTTGACTGACTTTTTGAGTTGCTGAAGAATCTCCATCAGTGTCATAAGCGATTGTACGGGCACAGAGGTGATGACTGATGCTGGTTAGTGCCTGTTCTTATTAAATCTTACAACTGTAATGCTGAATGGGACTAAAAGTGATAGCTAAAGAAAATGAAAGTGATTAATGTTTTCACTAGATATGGGTGTTTTTTCCTCCCCTTTCCCTTCTCCGTTTCCCCGGCCATTTGCAATTTGGAGAAATGTTGGGAGATCACCTCTAATTTATTTTGGAAGACTTTCATGCGATCTTTGAGCTTGTCTACTCAGACAAAGTATATTAATTAAACAGTATAGTTAAATTGTTAAGTCTCTCAACATGAAAAATTTTATTGAGGTAAACGTGGAGCTTTTTCAACTTTGTTAATCCTTGATGACACAGAATAAACTCTGAGAGGGCCCTTCTGGCTGGAGCCTCCTTATGAGGCTGTGTTAGTAAATGCACTTGTTCGAATTGGAAGATCTGTACTTGTAGACGTGCATTGTAATTCCTTTAAAAAAAAAAACTTTTTTAACTCAAGGTAAGGGAATCTGTTAAACAAGCAATTTTGAACATTTACAGGGTGCTTTCATGAAGACATATAGGGCAGGGTTTTTTAAACGGACGTTCTGCTAGCACTGAAGTTGTGCAAAAGAGTCAGTGAAGAATGTATGTTTTTCAGAGAAAGTGGTTATGCTAACATAAGCATGAATACACCTTCCCAGTATAATGTGCTTATGTTGATAAAGCATATTCTTACTATACAGTAGCACAGTTTACTGGAAGAGCTGGATCAGCCAAGGGGTTTATATTGTGATAATTGTGCATGTAGTGAAAGGTGAAAACTTAAAAGGCGTGTTTATGGATGAGCTGAGAGTCGTTTTTTTTTAAATACCTTGCAGATGAGAAATAAAAGGCCTACGCTTTTAAATATATATGTGTGTATGTATATTTTATATATATATGTGCCCTGAGTCAGGTGCGAATTTTAGTTCAACCGTTTGCCTGCTTTTTGGGCCAAGACTTATTAAGAGAATTACTCTCCTTCCATCTCTGAACTTCAATTGATTGTCTGTTTGTTGATGCTGTTGGTTTCTGTTGGCTTTGGGGCTGTCCCAGTCTGGGGCCATGAGGTCAATGGCAAAGACTGGAAGAAGCATAATCCCACGGTCATTCTGGATTGCTTGTAGTGTCCCAGGCATTTGTGTAGCATTGGCACTTTGTTATGAAACATGACCAAAATAACACTGGTTTTCCAGGCTCTTGTGTGTTGAAACCAAAATGTCCAGACTACTTCTGATGTTGGCTTCTCTCCTTTTTGGTGGTGTTGTAACTGGAACATTTGGTTTTTCTGCTCATATGTGACTCCTGGATATGGGGTTAATTTCTGGCATTCTAAAAGTAAAAACTTTTCCTAGTAAAATAGGAAGCGTTACTTTGTACCTGTACTGTAACAGGCTAAGAGACACTTGCCCTTATTTCCATCCCTCTTACTCCTGCAACTCTTTCTCCAGGTTGCCTACAAGGCCTGTTACTTGTGTGCATGCAGGTTTCTGGGAGTGAGAGCTTCTACAAGGCAGGTTGACGTTGTGTAGAGGAATCCATTGCACAAGGGGGGAAAAAAAAAATTTCTGTTTCTTTGTGCAGACTTGAAAGCTGTAATACAGTCAGAAAGCGCTTACGTTTAGCTAATGCCCTTCAATAACTTGTAGAAGTTGAAATAATCCCCAGCCATTTCTGTCATGTGTCTACTAGAGCTCCTCTTCCGCTCCCTTCCTTCCTCTCCTACCGACCCTCTGCTTTTTGTTGCCTCTCCCTACCCCTTGCTGAGAGATTCCCACAGGTAACACTGCAGAAATTACATTTCTGCAGCAGAAAAAAAGGAAAATTATTCAAGAGGAAGAGACAGTATTTACCCTTCTAACTCTGGAAGGTCCTTAGGTACTGGAGTCTTAATTAAAAGGTCAAACCCACTTTAAGAAACAAATATCTAAATATAACCTAAACTCTATGCAGGCAGTCTCTGGTAACTAAGGCTTCACAAAATGGACACAATAGTATGTATAGGAACTCTTGTAACTTTACTAAAATAGACTTTTTTTTTTAATATGATGCATGTGTATGTGGCTACAATGGCTTTATTGGCACTCATTTGGAAAAGCTTGCTAAACTTGCTTGTACTTCTGCTGTTCCCAAGTACATTCCAAAATTAATGTCAACAAACATCTGTGCCACAGTTTAGTATATACTTTCAGTGCACAATTTTTGATGTGTTTTGTGTGTGTTTTTTGTTTTTCAGTAGATGAAAAGGTCTGCATTTTCAAGTCTCTCTTTTTTGTACCCCTTTTTTTAATACTGATATCTGCTCTTACCGCTTATTTGATGCTGTATTTTAGAAAGCCATTTGGTGCTCTAGAATTGTATTGTCCATATGGAGACATGAGTGTGTACCAGACGCTAGGTCGAAGAAATCAGCTGTTCGTTACAGAACTTGCAGTCCCATACCTACTGCATACCAAAAATCTCCATGGGTATCAACTAGGCAATTCCTTATTTTTGGACGTGACAAAGAAATAAGTAGAATGGCACTTTTTTCATGTAAGTCTTGTGCTAGTCCACAGAAACTTGAAAAAATACAATCCTTAAGCCTGTTTCTCAGAGTAATCATTTTGATTGGTTTAATGGCCTGAGTGACAATTGAAGACTCCTTCCCTTGTATGCTGTCACCTGTATTTTTGAAAAGGTTGTGATTCCTGTAACTGACAGGTATGGTGTTTTTCAGACATCTCTTTGAAACATCTATTTTCCTTTAATTTCAGGACAAACACCATGATGCTGCTCATGAAATTATCGAGACAATTCGGTAAGTGTTCAATGCAGCCATGCCTCAACTTTCTTGTGTATTGCTTCATCTCAGTAAATGGACTCCCTGAGACAAAGTATAAAGGAGGATAGTAGTCATTAATAACTTAGTAGCTCTAAATTTAATTTTCTAACCTGAATTGATGTTGTTGCAATACAAATCTGTAACTTTCCCTATCAAACTTCAACTTGATTTTTAACATGCCAAATTCTGTTCTTGTTTGGACAGAATTAAAAATGAATAGCGACATTCAACTTTTGTTGATGCGTATAATGAAGTTTATGATGCTTCCAGGAAACTCTACTTCACAAACAGTGATGGCAATTTGCCATCTTCAGAGAAACAAAATTAAGAAAATATAATTGTCATGATGTTTTGAGTTCTAGTACTGTTCAAGAATAAGCAGTTTATTCTCTTCTCCGCCTTCTCCCCTTTTCCTTTGTTGCTATGATGTTGCAGCGTCATTAGCATTTGTACTATTTAGAGATGACGTCCTTATCATTCCTCCTAGTTCTGGTGGAGTTGGATCAGTGCCAGGAAAAATGTGAGGATGGAGGTGAAAGACAAATGCAAAGAGTAGGACGACTGAATGTCTCCAAACAATATTAGGGTCAGAGGCAGGCAGTGCGATGACATGGCTTGCTGTTATTTCGGCAGGATTGGGAAGTGACTTTCTGTAGAGCAATGCCTATTAAACAGTAACAAAAACTCCCCAAACACCTCAGGTCAGTATTATCCATGTCAATTTGTTAAAAAGCTGTTATTGATAACTTTTAGAACCTTATTTTCTATGTTTTCTGGGTTGGAGGGCTTTCTGTGCTTGAGCGTTGTATCTGCAGCAGGTTTTAATGGTTTAACAGTGCAGATACAGATGAAATGTGGACAGTGTTTTGTCTACATATCTGCCTGGGCTTGAAATCTGGTCAGTAGCAGATGGCCTAGGAAACAGTGTTGAGACTTCTTTGCTCCCAACGTGACTCGAAGACCTAAGTGCTTGCATGCTTGCTAGAGCTAATAATAACACTTCCATGAAATCACAGTATTTTACCGTGGTCTGCAAAACAGGTTTCTTCTGTTAGTGGGAGAGAATGCGTAATGACCATGTTAGGGGCTACAGCTGAGACTTATTTCATAAAGCAGTGTTCTTTTCTAACTACAAAATCCTGATGCAAGATGCACTGTCGCTGCTACTTCCAGTTCAGTTGTACTGGTTCTGATAATGCCTTGGTACTTGTGGCTTCATTTGTCAGCGTGATTTTTGAGAAGGCCCTCTGTGAAGAGGTTGAAACAGACATGGTGCTGAAAGTGACTGCCAGAGTCATCTGTGCTAGTGCTTTCTGCACTATACCAGCTGAAAGCAATGAGAAAACTGTGTTAGAAAGCAGTTTGGCCGAAGTAGTTTCACAACTTTCTTTTAAGCGAGTATATACAAGCTGTTAAAATGCTTTCATGCTACCTTTGTCTGCCTTGTGCAAAGTAACCACGATGTGGTTGCTTTTGGTACTGAACAGTCTTACGAAAGTTTTGGGTGAAAGAATTCAAAGAAATATTTCTCTTTGCAAGCCAGTAGTAAACAGCAGTTGGCTGCCCATTGGCCTAATTTAAGAGAAGAGAGTTGCAGAGATAGAAGTTGTCACATTTTCAAGGAAATGGTAGATATTAGTCAGAAGAGAGGCAGACATAGATTTAAAAGTTCTGTTTTTTTCTTGCTTATTATATTTTTAATCATAGTGAATCGGACAGAAGGAACCAGAACTGTTGGATCTCTAATTATTATATTTTTTCCCCATTTTAAAGCTGAAGTATGCGTCATGGTGCGGGAAGAAGAAACTTTACCATTCCCCTTGCTGTTCATCCTACATTACGCTCTAGAGTTTT